GGAAGTCCATTTGCATGCACAATGACAGTGTAATAGAGCTAGTACATCTTAATGAATGTTAGCTACATGCAAGAGCTTCCTCTTTGGCCTATGTTTTTGGTCTGAAGTTGGTTTCAGCTATAATAAGTGCAGCTGTGTTGATCCTGCAGTGTAGTGATGGCAGCGGCTTATTAGAAAACCTCAATAAAAGATAAACTTCGATTTCTTTCTTAATTTATTCCTTTTGGAAGAGAAAGAAATAAGAAGGAAGGATTGCTATTTATATCCCATTGTGTAGAGTAAATCCTTGGAAAAATAGTGGCTTTTCATAGGAGTGACGAGGCAAGAATTTAAAATGCTGAGAAAAGCCATTAAATTCTCTCAGAGGTGAAATGCTCCTGTAGAGTTGTAGGGAACTTAATAAAAACATATTGTTATAATTCACCTGGACATCAGTGTTTCTTGCATTCTTCCTGCAATAGCCTGATAAGTAAGAAGACAGGAGGAAAGCACAGGAGGTTATAATGGTTTTCTTCCTCCTCCAAAGAGATTGTGGCAAATAGGTTGTGGGATGCATAAAGTCACTGCATTTTCTAGTGACAGCTGTTGCTGCTGGGGAGATGAAAGCACTTGGCCCAAGGAGCTCAAAGTGAGACAGACAGAATCAGAGAATAAGAGAGCAAAAGATAATTATCCAAATTATGTTCTGACTATTATAGAAGACGAATATAGTTAAAATGTAATTAAATATGACAGGCTCGCAGGATGCAAGCGTGGCTTTAGAATGCTAATCATCAATTACGGTGTCTCCTTTGGGGAGCCAGGCAGAACGAGAGACTTAGAAATGGAGTGGCTGAGGTGAGGTGTAGAGTGTTAAATAAAACACTGTAGGCCTGTAACAAGGCTAATTTCTTTTGGAAGATGGAGCTGTGGCTTCAGGAGGCTTTTGCTGGCCAAACAACTTGCAATATAGTGCCTTTATCTTGAGGAGCCTGGTATAAATCTGTGCAGGCTGATAGTTGCTGGTCGTCTGCAAGATGTAAACCTCAGTTTGAGGTAGTGATTATTTCTGCTGTTAAAGTGATGACCAGGACTGCTGCAAATTGAGCAGCAAATCTAAAATGAATCAGCCAGTACGACAGGTGTGAAAGCAAAAAAAAAAGATCAGCACTTCCTGAATGCTTTAAAAAAAATCAAACTCTGAAAAATGCATTCTATAGAGGGATGCTAATAAGAAATACAGAGGCATCCAAGGGCAACCGTGTCAGTTTAGAAGGAGTTTCTGGTGGCTTTCTTATTATCATATCCTATCATATCCAAATTATTGCCACTTGCTTGAAAAATTTGTTTGCATGGTGCAGGGGAGGAAGGGTGGTGAAATGGCATCAGTTGCACAGAAGGATCTAATCTCAGATCAAAAAAGAGCTGCTTTCCTTATGGTTTAGTGCAACTGTTCCTGGAATACAGTGGAATGTGGACATATCAATACCAGAACTACATATGCAGTTTGTAGAAAACTCTTGCAAAGACCATCAGATGTGATTATGAAAATAGCGATTATGGAACTAGCTCATGTGAGCAAAGAGTAAAATAGGCACATATGCATGGCTTCACTACACGTTTACAAAGGCATTTGTGAAATAAAATTCTCCACAAAAGTTGAAATTATTTTAATGGTGCCAGAAAAGATATCTAATAGCAAAAGGAGAAAACTAAAAAGAAAACTCAAACTAAATGCAACCTGTAATGTCTTCCATTTCAGAACGCCACTGAGCAATTGTTATGGCTTGATACATAAACAAATCTTGCAGAATTTGTTATATGAGCAAAAAAAAAAAAAAAAGAAAAAAAAGAAAAGAGGGCAGATATCATAGTAATGTTCTATGGCTAATCTCTCTCCTCACATGGAAATAGTTGCACAGCACAAATTCTCTGCTGCATAATTTCATTCAGATTGGGGAGCAGTATCGCTTTGCGTATATTGACATACACAGATATTGACGTATATATATTGACGTATATATATTGACGTATATATATTGACGTATATATATTGACGTATATATATTGACGTATATATATTGACGTATATATATTGACGTTTTGACACGTATGTTGACACGTATATACGTATATACACGTATATTGACATACACAGTTCTATTTGAAATTGGTGCAGCTTTTTATTCAGGAAACTTTGCTTATTTAAAATGTACCTTCTTCCCAAATCCTTTTGTATTGTTTTCTTCTTTGCTTTTTCCCTTTCGCTGAGGAAATAAATTAAGAGACCTAATGTTCTCATTATCCCATCAAGAGCTAATTCTCTAGTGGCAATACTGAATTTTAATAACACTCCTACAAGCTGTTTGCAATTCTGACTTCCTCCTTTTCTAAGGGAAGGAAGTAAAAACAGACACATACTAAAGCAGTAAATATTCACAGGACCCAATTTATTGAAAACCCAATCTCCTTCCCAGTCTCATATTCCCAAGGACAAAAAAGATCCTGTGTTATATCACGTCTTGATATTAATAAAGGAGTATTTATAATCTGATCCTAATAACAGCGGCATGGCAGAAAATAAGGATTTGTACTGCTGGGAAGTAGAAGAAGTTAGGAGTTTCCTGGAGCGGGTGATGTAGAAGTGCATTGACAACCAAGGCTTTTAACGCTGTCCTTCACAACATCCTCCTGGGCAAGCTCCAGAAGTGTGGGATAGATTAGTGCACAGTGAGGTGGATTAGGAACTGGCTGGATGGCAGAGCTCAGAGGGTGGTGATCAGTGGTGCAGAGTCTAGTTGGAGGCCTGTAGCTAGCGGGGTCCCCCAGGGGTCAGTCCTTGGTCCAGTCCTGTTCAATTTATTCATCAGTGACCTGGATGAAGGCACAGAGTGCTCCCTCAGCAAGTTTGCTGATGATACCAAACTGGGAGGAATAGCTGATACCCCAGAGGGCTGCGCTGCCATCCAGAGGGACCTGGACAGACTGGACAACTGGGTGGTGAAAAACCTCATGCAATTCAACAAGGCCAAGTGCAAGATCCTGCACCTGGGGAGGAATAACCTCAGACACCAGTACAGGCTGGGGACTGACCTTCTGGAGAGCAGCTCTGCAGAGAGGGACTTGGGTGTCATGGTGGATGACAAGTTGACCATGAGGCAGCAGTGTGCTCTTGTGGCCAAGA